CCGTGCAGTCGTGGTAAGCAGACTGTGACGACTGAACGCACCCGGTGAATTCTAAATATAAACAATAACAGAACTTGAGCCCTGTTTACAAAAACTGTGTACATAACACGAGTGTGCTCGATTTGCTAAACTCTGCACGCATCTCTTACATGTAGTTCGGAATGACGATACTTGTGAAGGTGTTTTGCTTTCTAACATTTCTACTCTGAATAAAATTATTTTTCTTGATAAAAGTTTTAATATTTCACATTAAAACACATCAAAATTGCCACTTTTCCTAAAGATTAAGAATTAAGTTAAAATTTGTGAAAGTGCAAGGATGTGTCAATCAAACCCGCCAAAAAATTTAAAGTTTAAATAACTTTTAAACGAAATAAGATTTTTAATTAATTTTTGTGTGAAATGCTATTAAAATATATAATTCGTGATGTTATACAGAAAAAATGAGAAAATATTAACTTAAAATCTGTGTCCAATTTTATTTGATTTTATTTACAATAAAAATTTACTTATTTACATAATTATATAAATATAATTTTAGGCTGCCCTTCGACAGCAAGACGTGAAACTTTTAAAACAACTGATACAGATCAGCGAAGTTATTCAAGCATTTTACCAGAAAGTTACCAAAGACAATAAATTATCCACGGACATTAGCCCTGATAGTGGGGTAGATGTACCCGTGACTGACGTCACACAGGTACGAAGTATGCCATTGGTTAGACAACAGAGTGTGCCATATTACTGTAGGATTAATCCTTCCGCTGGAAGTCTGCTCAGCAGCGCCACTTCCAGTTTTGATGGTATGTAGGTTGAGTAGATTTTATAGTTTTGCATCATAGCATGACATTAAAAGTGATCAGCACATCGTATTAAGAATATCCCTATATGTATTGAATTGATTTTTCATACAGACTAACAAGATGACGCATCTTTATCTTTCTGAAGTCGTGCTTGAATGAAGTTTTGTTCCATGTTCGTTTGCAAAAAGGAACGATTTGACTAATAGAAAAGTGTGGCTTTATGTAATGAAATGTGAAGAATATGTTAAAGAACAGTATGCATGTTAAAAAGTCTAAATCAGAAGGAGAACAAATACAGATCTCTATAACCTCAAAGGTGGGATTAGGTGCCTTGAGAAGTGTACACTAGAGTATCCCCTGCCGACTGCTTACACCTACTTGTCATGATAAGGGGGGACATATAAAAACTTCATATATTATTATGGTCAAACAATGTCGTTATTTATCGACCATGCAAAATTACTTCAAACAATGAAATTAGGCCAAAAAATATATATATACCAATGCAGGTGTAAAGACGAATAATGACCCCCATCGAATAATGACCGGGGGTCATTTTTCAACGACAAAAAATGACCCCCTACCCGTAGAAAAAAAAATCATTTTTTGTAGAAAAAGTGTCATAGGGGTCATTATTTTATATCTTAGTCCTATAAAAAATTGACCCCCATTGAAAAGTGACCCCCTTTAAAGTGAAAAGAGATTCTTTAATTGTCAAGTAATAAAATTTCTTTTTAATATTCCTCCTTATAGTGTTTGCTTAAAGAATGATATTCCACTTGTTTTTATAAATCAAACCATGCAACAATCAGGTTCTAATACTCTTTAATAGAAAAATTAATTTTTCCTTCATTTCAACTTTTAGCTTGTATAAGTTTGGCAAATCCTTTTTGACAATGAAAGAGGAGGAAATTTTTACCCCCCCCCCCCCCAAAAAAAAAGAAAAGAAAATTACGTTAAATAATAATAATAATAATAATAATAATAATAATAATAATAATAATAATAAATGAAAAGCAAAAATATATATAAAACTCTGTACCTTTCAATAATACTGAAAGAGGCTCTAGATAAAATATTGAAATGCAGTTAAGGCTTCACACAAGTTCTATCATATCATAATTTACTTCGCCATGATTAAAGCATATTTCAAATGTTGGTGGGGGTATACTTGAAAGTATTGTGGCAAAGTAACAGTTGAAAATTATAGAATAGTTGATTATTTTAAGCTTATTTTTAGTCCCTTCTTATAGAAAAATAAAGGTAGGGTTTTTTTTTGTTGCTTTTGTTGATAATCGACTTCCTCCTAAATAAGTAAGGGGGTGGGGTGGGTATAACACCTAAAACATGCTCTGTAAAGCTATGGGCTAGTGTAAAATGCACATTCTCATGCAAAAACTATACATATAGACATAACCTTTTGATTTAGCACACAGTATTCATTACATTTCTTAATTCCTTTTTTACTCCACACTTTTACCCAGTTCTGAGTATATTTTTCAGAGAATTTAATATGAAAATCAGTACAAACATTTTCATTTTTGTAACGTCTTCTTTATATTGTATCATAATATGAAAAGTTAATTGAAGACCATTTCTTTTTATGTCCCTGTAATAGAAGATTCGGGGGTATATAGTTTTATCGTGTCCGTCTGTATGTCTGTCTGTCTATCTGGCGGTCTGTTTCTCCGCAAAAACTTTAACCTTGACCATAACTTTTCATTTATTGTAGCTATGCCTTTCATATTCTGTATGTGTATATTCCTTGTGACAAGACCTTACTTTGGGTATCACCAAATTTGACCTTTTGACCTTTACCTTGGAGTCTGTCCAATTTTACAAAAAAAAAAAAATGCCAAATTTTTAATTTAATTTGGCTCTAACTTTTTAACTGTAGATACTAGTACTCTCATACTTCACAAATGTAATCCTTGTTACATTAAACCTTTCTTTTAACAAACCATCAACTTTGACCTTTGACCTTTGAGTTTGGCCTACCTTTCAAACACTTATCCTTAGCCATTAATTTTGAACAAGTGGTGCTAGGGCTTTCCTATTTTGCAATTGTATTTCTTGTGAGAAAACCTACTTTGGGTACCATTATATTTAAATTGCATTTAAGAAAAGTTTAATCTTCGCTCTGTTGCCATACTACGGTGGTATATTTAGGACACGCAATTATTTTGTTTTTAAATTCCAGAAAAAAATTACCTTGTGAAAACGACATAATTATCTTGTGAAAACGAGATATTATCTTGTGAAAACGACATAATTATCTTGTGAAAACGAGATATTATCTTGTGAAAACGACTTATTATCTTGTGAAAACGAGAAATTATCTTGTGAAAACGACATAATATAATAAGTCGTTTTCACAAGATAATATGTCGTTTTCACAAGATAATATGTCGTTTTCACAAGATAATATGTCGTTCTCACAAGATAATATCTCGTTCTCACAAGATAATATCTCGTTCTCACAAGATAATATCCCGTTTTCACAAGATAATATGTCGTTTTCACAAGATAATAAGTCGTTTTCACAAGATAATATCTCGTTTTCACAAGATAATTATGTCGTTTTCACAAGATAATTTTTTTCTGGTATTTAAAAAAAAAATAATTGCGTGTCCTAAATACACCACTGTCCTAAATATACCACCGTACCATACAGGGGCATAGCTGTTTCACAAACACATCTTTTTATGTATAAGAGGAGTTGCGGATAACAGATGCATACCCCAAAGCGTAACAGACGGACGGACGGACGTCCCGATCACTATATACCCTCCCGCTTTTCAAGCGGAGGATATAATAATATGTGATACTGCTGATTTTTTCTGTCAGTACGATGATTTCCACCATCGAAAAACAATGTTTACCTAACCCTTTAGGCTCGATAAATCTTTACTCCTTAAGATTCTGTATCATCGCATTGACCTTAAAATATAGCTATAATTATGAGATCAACATATAGTTATGAGATCAACATATCATCAATTTACTCCAAATAAGCTCAGGTGAGCATTTTGGCCAATATGCTTCTTTATTTAATTTTTTTTTTGGCCCCTAAAAATTTCAGCTTTAATTCACAGGGAGTCATTTTTCTACGGGGGTCATTTTTCTTCACGTGGGTTCTGCAAATTTTTAGGGTGGTGACACTTTTTCTACGGACAAAAGGGTCATTTTTCGACGTTGAATAATGACCAGGGTCATTTTTCGCTGTCGAAAAATGACCCCCGGTCATTATTCGATGGGGGTCATTATTCGTCTTTACACAGGCATCCATTTTTAGCCGGGCTTATTGCTCAAAGAGCAATTGCCGGCTTATGTCATCCTGTTCAAGGCAGGAAGTCAACCCCATAGTCGCCATTTTGAGGTTACGAATAAAAATATAGTTCTTGCTTTCAACCGCTTTTGAGATAATACAAACGCTAAATAAAGCAACAAAAATAAAACGAAGTTCTTTATAAAACATAAGTAGTAATGACTTTGAAAACTTCAGTTCTAAGTCACGGAACATAGTTCATTAGCGTAAGGATTTTTGATAATCAGTGTTATCGTAGTTCTCTACACATACGAGGTAAAGCAGGAGAGGGAACCAGACTGGCCTGTTTGTTTACATTCAGCTGCGGTACCAGGTTAATTCTGATTCTGACAAAATCGGACCGTGGTATTAGGATCGAAAAACTCACTGTCAGTGTCTTATCATTTATATTGATAGTTTTAAAATAATTTTTTTATCAGAATATAAACGTATGATTCAGGTAAGAAAATCATTCTACTCTGTAAATGACCCCGGCTCTCAGTACTTCTGAGTACTTTGATTTGTTTGTATCATCTGTCCTTAATTGCGTTATTATTTTTTTAAATAACCCTGCAGTTGGCACTTAGAACCCCTACGCTTTGTACTGTGTAACTTATTGTCAACATTGTAACAATACTTCTATTTTTGCAGATATTTCTGAAGAATCGGCAGACGACAACGATAGTCTCTTCTCACTGAGCCTCAGTGGCCATTTCCCACCACGGTTCTCGATCTCGCTGAATCGCGCGAGATCTCTCTCTTTCGAATCTTCGCCAGCAGACCCAGAAGCAGATTCTTACTTTGACGAAGTCTTACGTAAAAATGTAGAACTTTGGAAACTTTCGGAAAATGTGACCTAGCTAGCAAGTTATTAGCGATTTATTGTTTAAATACTTGCCCAACTGTCAGTGTGATTTTCATTTGGTCTGATGAACATAAAGGAAATCTTTATGGATTGCCAATTTACTAAACCAATACCATACTGATGTTTAACGTGTTTCATCATAAAACAACCATGAACTTCAAAGCCTTTCTTTTTTCCATCATAAATAACACATGCCAGCCAATAATTTCACTTTCACGTAATGACTGGTATATTAATGATAGGAAATTAGGAATAAAACAAATCTTTATTGCAAACAAAGAAAGGTGAATTTTATATTATGTATTTTTAACATTAAAGAAAATATCATCAAATTACTTGGCAACGATTCGTCGCTGTATCCATGGTGGAAGTTGGTGAGCTAACGGCCACTGAAAAGCTTGCATTGCCTCAGAAACGTTGGAAGATTCAAAGTCATGCAGTCTGAAATGAAAATATCAAAGTAGAAGAGAAATAACTCCTATATTGGGTTTTATTTTATAATTTACCAGCTGCATTTCAGTAATCGGATTACAGTGACTTCCACTTTGAATTTTGAATTCAGCGAAATATGTAATAAAAGTCTCGCACCTTTTTATGATTATCATAAAACGGGCGTTTTCTTTTCTTTTTTTTTTTTTAAGACTTTATCATTAAAAAAATATTTGACCGATCGTTTACTGTCTTAAACTTTCTTTATATCAGGCAGAAGCATGTATTTGAAACAAAAAATTGATCTAAATGCATGTTTATTGGTATATACATAATTATCTAGTATAACAGCTATATTAGATTTTGCTGTTTGTTCTTTTTTTCTTCACGTTTGTTTTTTTTTTTTTTTGTTATTCCCACAAAGAATGTATACTTTCTTAACTTAAGAAAATATATGATTTTTTTAATACCCTGCAAATCTATATGCAGATTATTACTCGTACAAAAAAATTACGGAAGAAAGTCATAAATATAAAATACAATATGTGTATACTTACTTGACTGGCCTAGAGTTTTCTCTGATTTTTCGGATAATATTCTGGCTATTTGGACCAGTCTCATGTTGGACCAGTCTGTAGTCCAGTCTTGACCTGGTCAGTGGTGTGAGTTTCTCCTGATAGTTTATCACGCCCATCCCCCCGTGTAAGGCCTTATTGATGTCGAAATCCCGCAGACAGCGCTGGCGTATCGTATCCGATATATTCTTATTGTACATGGAAAATTGCTGACTGTTTGATGTAAGGAATCTACTTTCTGTGCTGAAATCCGTGACAGGCAGAACCTATATAGAAACAGATTTTAATAGAAATTTTATTTTACAGCTGAAAACGATAAAGAATTTGAAAAGAAGCTAAATACTATCATATAAAAAATTGAGATAAAAATTACATTTGAGCCTTCGCCATTCTTAAAATCGATAGAGAGGTTCGAATCCTCAAATGATTTGTTCCAGGAAGAAACAGATTCTCTTATAGTTTTGAATCTCTGCTAATTAATGACGTACTTGTATATAATTTTATATTATATTATAAGTATTAGTATTTGTAATTTTTTATATATAAAAAACCTAGACAAACTATGAAACAACTTTAACAGACAGTAAATTATTTATAATATCTGCCTGTTTGTTGTTGTTTTATAAATACCTCAACTGTTGTTTCGGAATGCCTCATGATCGGGGGGAGTGGTACGGAGAATCGGCTATCTGGACCATAATCCCGGCAGTAGGAGGAAATTCTCTCTCGGGGATCGTTACCAAAACATACATGCGTCTTCCTAAGCTTTTCTTTGTTTTCCAACCCATCCATGGAACTTGATTGATGTTATTGTTACGTCACAATGGTAGTTTATATGTTATTATTACGTCATAGTTTTTGTGGCGTCATTTCATTGTGAGTTCTTGATATGCCTGAAGAAATTTGTGCACAATTTCTGAACTTGCAAACAATGTATTATAAACAGTGATGTTTTAGGGTGTGACCGTTGGGATGAGTGCAGTTTGTAATTATACTGTTCTGTCAAGTCGAACGAGACATCTATACACTCTGACGTCACACGACGTAATGGAGCAAGCCAGAGTTTACGGATCGAGACAATCAAGTGTGTCGGGTTGAAACTACGCCGAGTGTTGAACGAAACGAAAGACATTGCAGAATATTTTTGTATAGCATAAAAGTTTTTTTTTACAAACTGAAAACATTTTATATTTTATGTTATTTATTTATTTCCCATTATCGCATGGTATCCTGATAACAGAGGGATTCTGCATGGAAGGTTTCACAATGATTTGCTTGACGTATCTCTTACCAGAGAGCGTTTGCGCTCCGCTCCAACACCTCTGTTATCATCAAACGAAAGTGAATGATATCTTTTCGCCAACTTGGTAATTTTCTTAAATGAAAAAAATCTGATGAACTTTTTTTTTTGTTTTTATCAAAAGCTTGATTTATAATTTAAGAAATAACTCTAACTCTTGGCAAAATTATTCGAGTATAACCTGGTTTAAGTCAGTTTACGCTTTATAATCCGGGAACTAGAGTGATTCCTTATAAGTTAATTTGAAAATAATTATACAACTGTTGTTATTATCCTTCAGAATTATACAGTCAATCTGATTGGTTTAGAGCAGGTCACGTGCAGGGAGACAACTCGTGATGTCTCCCTCACGCGCAGGGTGACAACTGTTATCTCCCTTCAGATGACAATGAAATAGCGTAAGCGAGCATGCAGGGTTACAACTGTGTTGTCGCCCTTTGAATGAAACTACAGTGATTTAAGCGAGATAACTCTTATTTATAAGTACAATTAATAAATATGCGGGATCGGTAAACAATAAATTCTAACGATGACGTCAAAGTTGTCTGTTGACATATTTTGAAAGTATGGAATCAGAGCAGAGTAGAAGAGAACTCTACGTAATTGATAATTATATATTCTTCAGGATAATAAAACTATTATGGACTGTTTAGAAGGGAGACATCACCAAATATCAGGTCTGAGTAGGGCAAGCGCTCTCGGGTGACAGTCCGTAATTGTATAATGTAAAATTGTGTCGCTTTTAGCCCTAGCAACGGAAGTGATGGGAAGCGAGGGGGAGGGGGGGGGGTATCTGATACATAGACCTAGCAGCCATGATATTTGTTTACATGAGGGAAGATAGAGCTACTGTTTGAAATTAAAGGTACATTTATTAAATCTGGAATTTTCAATGAATCCCGTGGACTGGAAATGAGGGGATTGCATGGATACAGATGATTTAGCGGTTGTCAAAGGGGTGGTGGGTGTCCCCATACAAAACAAGATAATACAAAATAATTTGCGTTCCGTTTTTGAAATCAACCAATGAGAGGCTAGAATTCAAACAAAATTAAATTAAATTAAAATAACTCCAATGTATGCAGAACTATTTTGTTTTGATTATTATCTTTAAAGGACACAATGAGTTAAAATCATGTCTTTCTTTTAAGATATCTGTAGCATACAGAGAAAGACTTATGAAAATTTTGAGTATATAGCTAAGATATGACAATTAAGGGGGAACAGGACCTTTAGCTGAGAAAAATCCTGTCAATGAATTTTTTTTCGTATTTTTTATATTACTAATTTAATATGTACTTAACATTTTAAAACGGTCCTGTCATGGGATTTCTTGACTTATTTAAAAGATATCGCCCCACAAATACCGCCCTGTGTAGAGTTTGTATGGAGTTTAGATACTTCATGTTTACGGGCCCATAACGGAGTCCATAATGCGAATTTTTACGCACAAACGATAAATATGATAGATAACACTATGTACTCAAATAATTCAGAATATTCATAGTGTTTAAATTATCTGAAAGCAATTGTTTGAATTTTATATAGTATTTGGGTGGGATAATTTCTGCATTTTTCAAGGCAGCTTCAACGACAAAAACCTCATTGGGAACAATTCTGTCAATAAATATTTCTAAATTTACGATTGAATGTCAGTCCTTCATCGTAATTATTTACTGCATAAATATCACAGGGTGAAGCTTACCTCAATATCGCACAGGACATCGTTGAATTAGACGTAAGCATAATAAAAACGCTTCACGTTTGTATTTTCCGAGTGCGGGAAATCAATTGTGACGTCATACGAAAACATAAACATTCAAAATTATCTAAATAGAGAGAATCTCTGCTATAAACACGAAAAAATATTGATTTTAAAAAATCTGCTTCAGAAATTTATCACGATACATTGACTGTGACCTGTTTATTATGAAATAAAACTGATCATGACGGGTGTGTGTACTTGATCTCGCTGCACTGAAAATTCAAACACTACGTCTATGACGTCACTGACGTCAAACTGCAGGGTAAAGAGAATCAAATGTGTAGATTGGGCAACTTCACAATATCTAAATGATGGCAAGATCTTTAAAAATTTTATGAATAATAATTTCTAAAATTAAATGTTTAAAAAACAATTTTAGAATTTAGAATAAAATTACACAAGAACTGTTGATTTTAACAACGTTTAACATGTATATCATCACCGATTATGACGTAATATGTCTTTATAATCATGTGACATGTGCCCTGTCTCCCCTTAACGAGGCCGAGTCTAATTCGAGTGCGCATCACTTTGCGCAGCTTTTTAATTTCATGCAGTCATTTGTGTGACAGTACGACTTTGAAATTTTTTTAAATTTTAATACAAAATTAACATTATTTGTAACTCCTACTGATCAGAAAATGTGATTTTACGACAATAATTGGAAAAAGAACGTTGAAATGGCTCTAACAACGTCACCATTTTCGGATTTTGTAAGCAATGCATGACGCTGAAGAATGACGCATGACTCGCTTGTATGTTCAAGACGTCCATGGATATTATACTAAAAACTGATGACATAACTTCCCAAGAAACATAATAGCAATCTAAAAATTGCTATTTTTGCCGAAAAAAATTGTATGGGTGTGCAAAGATACGTCTTTATACCGTAATATGGCAATTTTAGAGGTATTTGGCTTCGAAAAAATAAACTTGGTAATTACTACCTAGACCAATCGAGATGGTGAACTTTTTTGAAATTTCACAATTTGGTGACTTTTTACATTAACTTTCATTTACTTGAATGAAAAAGAAATCCCTAGGGCAGAAGTACAAAAAATATGGAAAAAATGTAATAATTTGGCGATTTTCCAACAAATTCCCAATGGGTCCAATAATAAAGTTTGACAACGTTTGAGATGGCCCCCTAAGAAATCGAGGTGGTAAACATTTGATTTTTTAATCCTAAAACAATAAATATAACAGTAAAAATTGATTATAAAAAAAATTATCAAAATCCCTAGGCAGAAATAATTAGACTCGGCCTCGTTAAACTGCAAGAAAATCTGCACGATATAAGTGCCGGAAAACTTAAGGTTGTATCTACCGTTCCGTTGTCAAGGTCACGTCACTTTTATTTTTAGCTCAAACTTGTAAACAACATTCAACTGGAGCAGGCAAAGATGAGAAATAATTTCTAACAACGTTTTAAAAAGATTTTCTTAATATTAGGTCAACTTACATTCATTCCTGGGTAATTGAGACCATGGTAACATGTAACTATGGAAACTTATTCAACTTTTCTGCTCACACGTACAATGAGGAGGAAGAAGTATTGAGCAATATTTTTGGTATGGGGCATGCTAAAATTATTTCTATTTTTCTCCTTAAAAATAGAATTTTTAGGTTCTGACTTCTGAAACCTGTAATTTTCTCATAATCAATACTTTTAGGAATTGAACAGAATTAACAAGGGTCATGCAAAAATTCTACATTTGTCAATTTTCCCCTTTGTGCGTCACAGTGTCTCTTTAAACTTTCATTTTGAAATTAAGAACACAAAGTAACAGAAGATATTTACGACCAGAGAGCTTGAAACACTCTAAATTAGCATTCTTGGCAAAACGTACAATACAATCAATGTTTACCCGTTTCGCCCGGTGTAACAGCCATTTTATTGTGTGACAATTCGAATTACTTTTTAAACGATAACAGAGGTGTAAATGATGTTGCAGAGCGCGACCTCTGGTGAGAGATTGAACGTGTATGTCATTCCAAATTTTTTCCGTTTGTACACATCTTTGCAAGCTCCATAGACTAGATTAGTGACTATATTAGTCTTTGGAGCTCGCTCTTCGCATGGCCTTGCTGCTGTAGCTTTCAGGCAGAAACCGGGAGCATCAGTACACAATCCCAATACGGCGGCTTGGAAAGGTTACACCTAATACTTATTGCTTTAAACAATGATATATATTGAGATAAGGAACAACATTCAACTCGGAAGTCCGATAAAAAAAAAACAAATTGGAGCAGAGCAAACACGGACCTCTAAAACAACAGGGGTTGGATCAGGTGTCATGGAGGAGTGGGCACCCCCTACCGACTGGACACACAGCCATGTGCTCCTTGAAAATATCGGAAAATAAGGGAAAATCCGTCGACAATTCAATGTGTATATATTTCGCAATAGCCTAACAATTAATATGATAAACGGCAGCATTTGACTTAAATGATAAAATGTATTTGATGACACGGTCAAGGTCATTGCATCGACCATAGAACTTACGAAATGATTATTTTAAACGAGACTGCTGATATTCTTGTTTCAGCAATTGTCTGTCAATAATTTACCTCGTTTTAGAAATTATTTATAGTACCTTCCCTAATGCATGTAGCAATATAATTACCATTATCAACTACATAGCCAATTAGGATTACTTCATGCAGGCTAAGTGGAGCCGTATGGAGATCACAGCGAATGATTTCTTTTCACGAAGATTTTGAACCAATTCTGCTTCATATAAACATTAATTCAAAATAGGTCTGTTTATAACGTGGT